CTATGTTTTGGAATCTAAGATAAAATTCTGATCTGTCCATCTCCCATCTCAGCATACCACTTTTATCTTGTTCAACCACAGTTAATCTGGTATCAATGTCTCCAATCTTCTTATCTCTTTGTTTATCTTCTTCAATTTTTAGTAGTCTCTCATCATACTTCATCATCATTTGTTGGATGTTCTCGACTTTTTCATCGGTTTTCCCTGTTCTTTAGGCACGTTCTTTGTTCAATGTTCTCTGTTTCAATTCTTCTTGCACTGTATTTGCCTTCTCTTGTTGCAGTAGAGTGTCCAGAGTTCTCTGTCCATCTGGGCTGCCAATGATGAAGTTGAGGATGGTGCAGAAGTTGTTTTCTTCATTTTAAAATATTTCAGAGTGTTTCAATAGTTATAATCCACTAAAGATCCAGATGGTTCCTCTTCTGTTTTCTGCTTTCCCCCAGTAGGTTCCAAAAAAATATAGTTCTAATTGTATAAATTTATAATCCAAATATCAAGCCAGATTACTATCAGTCTTTTAATTTCTTCTTTTCTTCGGGTTCTTCAAACCCTAATCCATTTTTTATAGGAAGTATGACCAAAGATTGTAATCCAAAAAGGCCCACCATTCCCAAAAGCTCACTACCAGCTATTTTATATCCAAGGAGAGAGTGCACAGAGCAAAAAGGCAAAGTCCAAAACACAAACCTTAAAAAGGAGATATTCACTTTCTATTATTTTTATCTGCTGCTTTAAGCTCCAAGAGCTACACTCTTCAAACAAGACAAGAAGAAAAAACAGTATCAGAGTTTCGCTCTCTCTTTGAAATCTTTAGTCCAACAGCAGCTGCTTATCGCTTTGTTCTCAAGCTCCAAGGTTATATTTATTGTCTGTGTTATTCTATAACTTCGCCTTGTAATTTTCATTCCTGCCTTTAGATGGCACTATTGCTCTGCTTCTCCACTTCTTCCAATATATTCAGAGGTGGTATTCAGCAGGTTCTGACCAGTTCTGGAGAACCGGTAGCAGAAATTTTGAATAGTTCAGAGAACCGGCAAATGCCACCTCTCACTGGCCCCACCCCATCAATTTTTTGCCTCCCAAGTCCCAGCTGATTGGCTGGGTCTTCTTTTGTTGCCCTGCACAGGAGAAGAGAGCTGGAAAGCAGGTTGGTGCGATGGGGGGAAATGGGATTTTGTAGTAATCTTCCCCTAGGAGTGGGGAGGGAATGGGGATTTTACAGTATCCTTCCCCTGCCACACCCTACCATGCCACACCACGCCCACTGAGCCATGCCCACAGAACCAGTAGTAATAAATTTTGAATCCCATCACTGAATATATTGTATAGCCAGTGAAAGTTGTGAAGAAAATAATGAAATGTGTGTGTGTGTGTGTGTGTGTATGTGTATGTATATTAGAAAAAAAGGGGGGGGGACAAAAACTTTATAAAGTTCTTGCTTGATATATCTGAAATACCAGTACAGTTTTCTTAAAATAAAGTCTTGTCAAAGTTTTTTCAACTAGTGTAAATTATTGTATTTTCGCTTTCCTCATCGCTTTCTCTGGAGATGGAAAAGGAATAAAAAAATTTGCTTCCCCTTTGTGCCTTACTTCTTTAATTGTAGTCCAGGGGCACTCTCTTATTCAATTCTTTAAGATGTTAAAAAAAATCTAATTGCTCTGGCTACAATAACATAAGTTTTTTGCTGCTGGCCATGCTAATTGGAAATCATGGAATAAATTAGAATATATGGAGGCATCTTGTTGCCTGCCCTTTCCAATAAAAAGGGTGAGTACATATTAATTTAGCTGTACTTAGTTCCCATTACAAATCCAATGGCAACTGATGCTGATTTATTACTAGAATAATAAGATGATTAATGGAGAGATTATTTAAAATTATCAAGACACAATTAATTGATTTTAATGGTCTATGTGGCAGTGGTCTCAACAGACAGAACAAGAGAATGGAATGGAATGAAATTCTTTATTGGCCAAGTGTGATTGGACACACAACGAATTTGTCTTTGGTGCATAAGATCTCAGTGTACATAAAGAACAAATACATTCATCAAGAATCATAAGAAACAACAATTAGTGATAGTCATAGATTACTAATAAGCAATCAAATCATACTAGCGAACAAATAAAACAATATAAATTGTAAAGATACAAGCAACATGGTTATAGTTACAAGTTGGAAGACATAGGCAATAGGAAGGATGAGAAGAAGAATAGTAATACAGTCTTACTAAATAGTTTGACAGTGTTCTGGGAATTAGTTGTTTAGCAGTGTGATCATATTTGGAAAAACACTGTTCTTGTGTCTAGTTGTTCTAGTGTGCAGTGCCCTATAGCATAGTTTTGAGGGTAGAAATTGAAACAATTTATGTCCAGGATGTGAGGGATCTGTAGATATTTTCACAGCCCTCTTTTTTACTCGTGCAGTATACAGGTCCTCAATGGAAGGCAGGTTGGTAACAATTGTTTTTTCTGCAGTTCTAATTATCCATTGAAGTCTGTGTCTGTCTTCTTTGGTTGCAGAGCCAAACCAGACAGTTATAGAGGTGCAAATGACAGACTCAATAATTCCTCTGTAGAACTGAATCAGCAGTTCTTTGAGCAGTTTGAGTTTCCTGAGTTGGCACAGAAAGAATATTCTTTGTTTTGCTTTTTTGATGACAATTTTAATATTAGATGTCCATTTTAAATCTTGAGATATGATAGAACCTAGAAACTTGAAGATCTCTACTGTTGATACTGTATTGTCTAGTATTGTAAAGAGGTAGTAGTATAGGAGAGTTTCCCCTGATATCTACCACTATTTCTATGATTTTGAGTGTATTTAGTTCAAGATTGTTCTGGTTGCACCACAAAGCTAGTTGTTCAACCTCCCATCTGTATGCAGATTCATTGTTGTCTCGAATGAGACCAATCCCTGTTGTGTCCTCTGCAAACTTCAGTATTTTAACAGGACTCCTATGCTAATTGTGCAGGTACATGATGTGATTTTGCCTAGCTTCACCTTCTTCTTGTTTGTTAAGAAACTTATAATCCATTTACAGGTGTGGTCAGTTACAGCTAGCTGATTTAGTTTAGTTCAGTGGTCGCCAACCAGTGGGCTGGGGACCACTGGTGGTCCGCGAGAAAATTTTGGTGGTCTGCAGAGAAATGTCACCCCCAAAGGATCCCCCAAAGCAATTAATCCAGGCTGCACAGGAACACAAGGCTGCGCCACCCACATGGCCCATGGGAACACAAGGCTTGCATCGCTTGCATTGTGAACAGCATGTAGTGAGGGGAGGGAAGAAAGGGCAGATGGAGGAAATTTGCCCCCACGCACCTGGCCTGGCCACCAGGCTGCTTCTTTCTGCTTCTTTCTTCTTCTGCTTTTGGCTGCACACGAGGAAAGCAGCAGAAGTCTTTCTTTCTCTCCCCCAAACTCCATCAGAAATGAATCTTTGGGATCCTGCAAAGCATCCCACTCCAAGAGGCTGTGCCGGCATGACAATTCTCACAAAGACTAATTTCTGGGGAAATTTGGGGGAGAGAAAGAAAGACTTCTGCTTCTGCTGCTTTCCAGCATGAAGCCAAAAGTCTCTCTCCCTCCTTCTTTCTCTCTCCCCCTGAGAACGGAACTGGAGACAGTTGTACTATGTGACCCCCTCTCCTGATCTACCCTGGCACTGGAGTGGGTAGGCGGCTAAGCCAGTCTCAAGCCAGTGAGAAAAGTGGCTTTCCTGATTCCTCTGCTGAGTTTGATGACAGGTTTGGCCAAGGTAGGGCAGGAAGGGTTAAGGCAGCAAATGGGCAGCTCTCAGTTGGGTGCGTGTGAGTCCCTTGTGCCCACAGAGCCCAACTAAAGGATTCCTCCTCAAAGTGGTCTTTCACCTCCCAAAGAAGAGGAGTTGATTGGATATTAGAAGGAGGCCTTTGAAATCAGGGAACGCTGCTGATCTCCTAACCCCCATAATGGACGGCAGGAGAAGGCCCAAGAAGGCTCATTTTGGTCAGCTGTCTCTGGAGGGAGCAACGGTGAGGGCTTTGGGTTGCCCAACCTGGGTTGCTCACACAGGCATCGCTAGAGCAAAACATTGTGATCCGCCTGCAGGGCGGCCGCAGATGTGGCACAAACAAGAAGGGGGAGGCGGGTTCAGCAAAGCATGTTTCCTTTTCTCCCCCTGCCCGTTAAGGAGGAAAGCAGGGCCTGCCCCTCCTTGCCAACTTGGGGCGACGAAAGGCCACTCTCCCTGCTTGGGATGCCCCTGCCTCTCCGGGTATTTCCCCTGGCCAGCTTTTCCCTAGGGGGGTGGCTTCCCTTGTCCGCAATCCAGCAGAGTCCAGATGGGGAGGAAGAAGCACCACAGGGCTGCCCCTGCTTAGTCTGCTTTTCCCAAGGAAGGCATCTCTCCCCCCACCCCTGCTAGAAAGCCCCTGCTAAGGGTCGCTGTCTCTGCACTCAGCAAGCTTGCAGGGCCAGTTCGGGAGAGCAGTTCCTGGAGCCATGTGCAGGATTGGCTGCGGGGCTACTGCACTCTGGGAGAGAAGTGTCTTGGCCTTTGTGGAGGCGGTGGGACCTGCCTGCAACCTGGCTTGAATCCCACCACTGGGAATTTGGGGAGGGTTTTTTCCCCCCACCTGGAAAGATGTGTTCCGGAAAATACAGATTTTTCAGAACATTAATCAGTTTGCCAAACTGTTGGGCAACTGTATAAATTTGTTTAATAAATAAAATACAATAAATGTCAAGATGGGGATCCATTATTTTGTTAATCATAATAGGAATATTTTGAATACTTTTGAATTACCGATTTCCTCAGCAAGGACCTGAGGATTTCACATCTCATTAGATCTCCATTTGCTTATATTAGCAGAATTAGATGGTGGGGAAGAGTATAGTAATCCAAAGTCTGGATCTTATGTATTTTCTCCCATCTTAAAAAACAGACCCCTTTCCCCACTCCTACTCCCTTTTATCTTAATAAATCCTTGGAAATACTAATTATAATTTATTGTCAGGTGTAAGAAGCCTGCAAGGAGAGAAACTGACACAATGGATACCTTTGTTGATTCAGCTTGGTATTATTTAAGGTACACTGATCCTCATAATACTGAAAGGTAAGTAATTTGTATATTTTTCATTCTACATTTACATGTAGTTATATATAGGCTGGTAAGTCTTTTTATAACCCCAGGTGGAAGCTAACATTTCTATTCCTTGTCTTCAACTTATGTGAAGCACAGTTCAAAAAAATGATTCTTCTAGGAGAATCTTTTGTGAGTCTGTTATTATTGGCTTCAGTGCAAACACAGAATATAAAAGGATTAGTCTGGCTGCTTTAAATGTCATAATCTTATCTCTTGTGGACCTCTCCCCCTTGGAAGTGTATATGTTGTCAAAATTTTCCAGATTCTCAAGAGCTAATTTAGGGAAAGTGTTTTGGACCCAACTTATTTAAATTCAGAAAAAATAATATTATAAATATATTTGAAATTATTTGAAATAAAAATAGAATTGGATGAGATTTGTAGCAAGTTATCATCTGCTAAATTTCACAGAGATAGATTTCAAAAACATGTTACCACCTCCATTTTGAGATCATTTCTGAAAATGATACCTCTGATAGAATTGTTTAGTAAAAAATATTCAGCAGAATAAATAGAGTAGTAAAATTATCAAAGCAAATGAAAAACAGTTCAAAGCTTTTTTGGATTGGTAGCATTTATAGATTGCAGCATATAATGTGTGTGAAGTGAACAGGCAGAAGGATTAGACACTTCCAGCATTTTCCAAGCCAGCCTTCCAGGGGTGGGATTCAAATTTTTTACAACTGGTTCTGTGGGCGTGGCTTAGGTGGTGGGCATGGCTTGGTGGTCATGTGACTGGGTGGACGTGGCTTGGTGGTCATGTTATTGGCTGGGCATGGCCAACTCAATATCACTCACATGAGGCACACATCTCCTCGCCTGGCCTCTCATGACTGTGGGGATGCTGCAAAAGTTGTAAGTATGAAAAATGGTCATAAGTCACTTTTTTCAGTGCCATTGTAACTTTGAATGGTCACTCTACACAAGCAAAGTACCAGCAAAGGAAGGAAAAAAACTCCAGAGACGTTCCTGAGACAGGAAGTCTAGTCCTGCCAAGAATGCAATAAGGGTTAATGGAGAGGCAGTTTCTGTAAGTAACACCAGAATGTTTCCTTCCTGCCTTCCTTGCAGGATTAGGCCAGTAATTTCTTCTAACAACCAGTTCTCCGAACTGCTTAGAATGTTAATAACCGGTTCTTGTGAATAGGTGCGAACTGGTAGAATCCCACCCCTGCAGCCTTCCATATCACAATCTGCCATATCTCAAAGAATCCATCAATAGCAAATGAAGAACAGATAAACATAGAACAATCCTCTAATTATTTCAGGAGGTTTCCCTTGAAACACCGTTATTGAAGAAACTAGTAAAACTTTAATAAACTGGAGCTATTCATCCTAAAACTAGAACCTCATCTTTTTCCATGTTCTGTTTTCCTTGTATAGCAAGTTTAAAGAGAAACACATGATATTGTGTAGCTGTGTTGCCTGAATGTGTTGTATCAAATTTCAGGTGGCTAAAGATGCTTTAAGAGAGTTCAGATTTTCACCTTTTTGTAATAGCAATTTTTATTTTAATATCTCCCAAATCTATCCTTATCTGTTCAATTTTCTCTGACATAATTTGGATTTGGTACTTGTTCTTAATCCACAAGGCACCATTTATGTTTAGGAGAGTACTTATTCTAATGAAATGATTTTGTGTTAATATTTAGTTAATCCTAGTTTACTGTTGGTGTGTGTGTGTGTCTAATTCTGAACAAATTTTTACCTTTCATCAAATTAGTACTTTTACAGTCATATTCCTGTGCATTAAATGATTACTTCTATAAATATTCTTACCTGAATGAGCAGATTGATCACCTGCCAGAAGCATAGATCTGGATAATTCCTACAGAACTGTTTGACCTCCTTTACTATTCAAGGCCACATACAGAGTGTGACTTAAAAAGGAAGTACTATCCTTTGAAGTTATAGCTGAAGTTGTGAATGTTCAGAATAGATTTTGTTGTAATATATATTCCTGTTTTCCCCTAATGGCAGTCTCAAATTAACAATACCCTTTAAATCAGGATAATAATGTTTTAGGAAGTGTTATGACTTGAAACGATTCTAACCTTCTTTAACAATTTTTATTTCTTAATGAAATCTGTTTTTTTCTATTAGGCCTTTTGATAAAGATTTGGCTGATTACTGGATGCCTGTTGATCTGTATATTGGAGGAAAGGAGCATGCAGTTTTGCATTTGTATTTTGCCAGGTTTTTCAGTCATTTTTGTCATAATCAGAATATGACTAAACACAAGTAAGTGGTACAGCCAGGGCAATGTCAGTCTTACAATACCTGTGGCTTTTATCCTTAATCAGATGCAACTCTGAAAATATGCTAAATATGCATGTAAAAGTATGTTCATGTGTACGTATGCCTACACACTTGATTGAGCATACAATACACACATGTGCACACATAATGAATTATTGCCCAATCATTGCCCACTTTCTCACAGATGAATGCAACAATATACATAATAATTTTACTGTATTTAACAGAGAATCAAAAGATGTCTTTTTTTTCTCCTCCAAAATATTTGTCTATCATCTACTATTGTCACGTATCCATAAACATATTTAATATTTAAAAATATCATTCAAACTATTCTAAATATATGAGTTCCAGGTATACTTGTAAAAGAAGAAGCAGACATCCTGCAATCTCTGGAACTTAAAATTATGTTTAATGTTCTTACTAAGAAAGGAAAAACCCTGCAGAAGGAGCAGGGACCTCTTCCCATTGGGGAGCAGGGACCAATGGCACCCCCCATCCCTAGGCATGTGGAGTCATCCTATGAAGGCACAGCCAGGCCTGTCCAAATACAGAGGAGCTCAGCAGAGCTGCCTCAAGTTATAGCAGACAGGAATAAGGAAGGACGAGCCAGGCCAACTACAAGGTCACAAACAAAGCAACAAATTGTAATAGCTGGCATGTTAACATCACCTCCTAGAGATAAGCATTCCAGGCTGGGTCGGCGGCATAGCAGAAAGCAACAACAAGAGATAAGCCTCCTTTGACCAACATGACGGAAGCAAAAACAACAGAGCTAATTGTGGATGGGAGGCAGTTGAGAGGGCCTATTATGCGTGCAAGGGCTAAATTGATTAATGGTATATAAAGGCAAAGATCTCTGTAATGGTAGCTTAATACTCTGATGATGTCAGCAGAGGCTGACAAAAGCACAGTAAGTACATGGCATTGACCATACAGTCAAGGGAACTAACTATGAGATATAAGCTTAATATATTGGATTTATATATATATATGCAGTGTTTCTCCTCAGACCACTAGTCCCATTGAGGTGATAAAGGCAAAGTAAGCAAACCTGATTAGGAAGAGAGGGATATGCAGTCCTAATTCCTAGAATGTAGTAATGAAGAAAAGCATATAGTCTAATCTCACCACAATATGATGCATTTGTTAATGTTAGACTAGGGCTGGGAAGATGCTATTCAGATATGAAACTCTTGAAGCAGGGGTGAAATTCAAATTTTTTCCCTACCTGCTCTATGGTCGTGGCTTAGTGGTCATGTGACTGGGTGGGTCAGCGTGGCCAAGTCGATGTCACTTGGCCTCTCTCTCATCTCTCACCTCATTTCATCTCATCTCTCAACTTTGTCTTTCTCCTCTCTCATTTTTCTCTCCTCTCTCTTTCTGTCTCCCTCCCCCCTCATCTCTCTCTCTCTCTCCCCCCCCCTCTCTTTTTCCCTCCATTTCTCTCTCTCTCTCTCTCTCTTGTCGGGGGGGGGGGGGAAGAAACCTCTGAACTGGTGCTGGATGGTGGGAATCTGACATCCGGCGGCCATGTACTAAAGACCAGATGCGGCGGGGAGGTGGGGCAATCCCGCAGTCTCCCTAAGAAACCTGTGTTGTGGCTGCTGCTTCCTGCCTCTGTGCATTGAGGCTGAGCAGCAGTGGGAAGAGCACAGACCTCCTGAGCTGCAGGAAGTAGCTGCCAGCAATGCCCTCAGTCAAAGATGTTGCGAGTGGGAGGCTCGAACCCCACTCCCAGGAGCTGCAAAACTCTCACTGCCCCTCTGGAACTCGCCAAGCCTCTCTGCTGGGCGTGCAAGCACTTCTGACGAGGAGGAAGAGAAGTGCATGGGAGGAGGCTTGGCGGATGCTAGAGAGGCAGTGAGTGCATTGCAAGTCGGGTGGGGGGGCACGGGAGACCGCATCTGTCAGGCTGTCTCCGTTCAAAATCCAAGAAATATACCATTATATTCAATTGTTAATAGAGAAAAGGACTTTTACTGGAAATCAAGTGGTAGCATCAAAGTAATTCAAGATCTGAGAAATTAGGCACGAGAATCACATATACAAAGTTATGGCAACATTCCCACACACAATAGTTCAAACTGGCCATCCAATCTGAGATATGTATAATGCCATGTGGGGCATCTTCAGGTGGTGATGCAGACTTCTGGCCTTGGACCTTGGCCTAGATAGATAGAATGCTGCAGCTGCACAGTAAGCAAGTAAGCATAAACAAGAAAGCTTTCCCAAGTTTTACCAGCTCAAGCCTCCAGCACACTTCCCCCCCCAAGCCTAATGTAACCTTCCTTCCCCCCCCCACCCCCATTACTATGGCAGCCGGAAAGACAGGCAGAAGAAAGATTCTTGAAGGTTGACAGCACCTTCCCCCCGCAGGCCAGGGAATACCCGGGAAGGGCTCCAATCAATGCCACAATCTCCTGCCTGCTACCCTCACTGCGCACATTAGTTCACCTGCCACCAGCCCATCCCCATTGTTGACATAGGTACGCTGCGGGTAACCGAGTGAGCGTGGGCGGGGCCAACCAAGGGTGATTTTTATTGGTTCAGCGAACCAATTCAAATTGTCCCTACCATCTTGCCCGAGGTGGACCAAGGTGGTTGAATTTCACCCCTGTCTTAAAGTAATTTTGACCTATTCAGTGTTTTCGACATCAATCTGCTGTCAAGGCCGAAAATGACATATGCATAGCCATTTTATTTAGCCCTATTGTATATTCCTTTCTTTTTGCTGGTTACAGGGGGAGGGTTTCAGGTTTGCCACATTCCTAAGATGGGAGGAGCAGAAATAGTGATGTTTGTTTAGGCTAGATGATTTTTCCTTCCTGTGGGAACAGAAACTGACCCGGCTGAAACCTGGAGGTGGAGATTGATGACACCAGGCAACATTGATTCATTTCTATTGGGGAATGTGACTTTTGGGGACTGTTTCTAATTTCCAATATTATGTGGTGTAATTCCAGGTTGTATCAGATCTGGAATTACAAGAGTCTTTGCCAATTTGATGCTTTCCTAAATAAAAGAAATTGTTTTGGAAAATGGGCTTTGTTTTTTTCTTTTTAAATGGATTTCATCACTTGGAAACTTGACATTATTCCGGATCTCTCAAAAACATAATCCTGAACTGGGGATTGTTATTCATGGTCCTGAGCCCTGGCTGTTTACCTAGAGAATTGGGCAACAGCAAAGACTCAGGGAAGATGGCAGAAGGACGGGACCCAGGAGTACTGCAACGGGAGTGCAAAATCTGCAGGCGCCATTGTGTTAAGTTGCCGGTTCAGCAGCAGACCTCCCAACAGATTCCCCAGGAGGCGATCAGAGTAACAGCAGTTGTGGAGGATATTGCGTGCCAACTAGGGGCCTGCCCAAAATCCCCAGTTGAATGGTCTGGAAGTGCAGGTATCCAACGGATGGAAAGAGACCTGCTTGGCCAGTCAACCCTTCCTGACCCGCTCATTGATCGGCTGTTAACTGCAGTTAGGAGTCTTGAGCCACAATTTTAGAATGGAGAGCAGCAACTGGACCCATAGGACCTATGGGAGACCACAGTGAGCCGGCTGAATGGCAGTACCAAATGGCGATGTGCAGCCAGACTTTCAAGGATCTACCTGACCAGCTGGAGCAGCTCTTCATTGGATGGGAAAGCAGAAGTCAGCAAAGGAGGCAAATGCCCACCCAGAGAGATCGTGAAACATGAGCTTCCAGCCTGTCCAATTTCGGTCTAATCCAGTTGTTGAGAGAATTATCTCCCAGAAGAGGGTGATCTACCGCTGCTGGAGATCTACCACCATTATACCGTTTGCCCCCAAGATAGGAATGGAGAGGGGTGACTGGGAGGGGGAGTCCACAAAGAATCCATCGAGGAACGATCTCCACCCCTTGTCTACCTCCAGCTGACCAAATCCCTCTGGGATGGGTGTTTTATCCAGGCAGAGGATGGGTTCGAGACCAAGCTCAAATGATGGCAGCCCAAGCTGCAGCCCCACCTTTCCTGCCACAATCAGCACCATGTACAAACACCCCAACACCTTTTAAAACCATGTTTGATGGAACAGCAAGTAAACTTGAGTTTTTCCTGAACAGAGTATGGTCTTACATCGACAGGCTTGGAGATGAATTCCATGATGATGCACAACTAGTTCAATTCCTTGGAGACAATTTGGAGGAGGCGGCATCCAAATGATTCATCCAACTCAATGATGAAGGTGCTCCTGAATTAACCAATGTGGATGATTTCCTGAGGGAGCTCCAGTCACATTTTGAGGATTCTTCCTGAGCCCAAGAGGCAGAAGCAGAAATAAAAAGCATCAGGCAGAAAGGAACTAGTGCTTGAGTTCAAATGCCTGGGTACTAGTCTCAGGCATTGATCTCAGAGGTTACTTGTGCACTATTTCCAAAAAAGCCTGCATGAGGAGTTGTTAAAAATCTCCCTTTGCCATGGACTGCCCGTGGATAGAACCTATGAGTGGTATCGAATGGCCATATTAATGGACAACGCACTCAGCACCGAAGAAGCAATGCTGAAAAACAGCTCGGCTCAGCTCCACGCCAAGGCGAATGGCATCAAACAGCAGCCCCCCTGACTTCCATGAAGTGTTTCCATTGTGGCCAGCAAGGGCATTGTGCCTCGGAGTGCTTAGCACCAGCCCCAGTACCTCAAGTGAGAGCACCCACTCCCCTTAAAGGGAAAAAGGCAGTGAGAAAACCTCCTGAAAAGAGCACATTTGTGTGCCAAGCCATTGTGGTCCCTAATCCCCAGCAACCTACTGGGGAGGGAACTCTGGCAGCAGGATTGCCCATTATTCAAGAAGCAGACAGCGAAGAAGATGACCTGATGGTAAGTGGAGCCATTCAACCTTTTAAAATTGAAGGGACTTTGACTGTTACCCACACAGGCATAGAAAGGCCCATAGAAATTATCATTGACACTGGCAGTTCGCGGTGCCTTATCAGTCCCGAGACTGTGTAGTTTAGGCATA